GCCACGCAGATGCACGTGAACACTGAATTCTGTTCACTTCTGTGTCTATTTGTGCCTGAAATACTGTGCTCTGCAAGTATCCTTGTAAACGCAGTTGCTTATGGCTCAGGTGAAGGGAAACAATTGAGAAAGAAAATGGATGTGTAACAGTATATTGGTTTACAGCAGTTTAATGTTCCTGAGGCTTTCTGTGTTATGAATGTTAATCAAACAACAAAACACAAAGAAAAATTACTTTTGTATGTTTAATACAGATTTATTAAATTTAATTTATACAGTGAACACTATGCAGTGTCATTTTACATTTGATTATTCAATTTCTGTACCTGAATACTGTTAGACTTACCTGAAAAATATAAAGCACGGCTTATTTCATTTGTATCTTTTTTCTGTTATATTTATATATGCTTGTAATTTGTTTATTTCCTATGCTGTTTTACTCGCCTACAAAATCACCCCAATCATATCATCATAGTGAGACGACAGAGGCTGAAAACACCACGAGCATTGTCTGCGCTTTAGTAAGTGTGTAGTAAACAAAACAGTGCGTCTCACCATCCGCCATTCATTCATTCATTGCGGAAATCATGCCTCCTTTACGCGTGATGTCAAATGCTTCCACAGATTTATAGTATTACTATAGAATTTTACCTGAACATTGCAAATCACGCATATTGCTTTGTTCTTGGTTCTTGTCAACAGTATCTCTGCCATAAGCACTGAATGAATGACATGCTTTCCGTTGTAACATTGCGTAAGGTAAATAAGAGGGTGACATATAGTGGAGAAGACTAATGATAAGATTCACATTAATCAGATCTTGTTTTAAATGTTTGCTGAAATAAATACCGGAAAAGATCGATTTGCGGCTTTTGACGTCATTTTAAAAAACGATGAATCGAAAAATCGATTTTTTTGCCCAGCCCTTATATAGGCCTATATATATATATATATATATATTGTATGTACTACGATTCAAAAGTTTGAGGTCAGTAAATTTTTTGCTTTTTTAAAGAAATCAATATTTTTATTCAGCAAGGAAACAAATTAATGGTTTCCACAAAATATAAAGCAGCACATCAGTTTTCAACATTGATATTAATAAGAAATGTTACTTAAGCACTAAATTAGCATATTAGAATGACTTCCGAAGGTTCAGCTGAAAATTCAGCTTGGCCAACACAGGAATCAATTTTTAAAAATGCATTACCTCAAATAGTTTTTTCCTAAATATTGATCAAATAAATTGATGAGCTTTCACACAATAATTTTTACGAGGCTTTCAAAAACATTAAAAAAATCTACTGACTCTAACCTTTTGAATGGCAGTGTATATATAAAGAAAAATAACTTGGGGTTCAAAATTACGGTTATTTTATTTAATTATTTTTCATATGAGTGGTGCTTTCTTGTTGAAGTTTATTACTTCGAAAACTAAGCGCAAAAAGGGATTGCTTTCTCAATATCATATTATTTCCTTTCTGAATATAAAATGATAATTAAATTCAGTGGCATTCAAAACAACAATATATTCAACATGAATGCACATATAAACGTATCCAAGTTCAGTGTCTTGTCTCAAACCTCCTCCAAGGACTGAATGAATCCAAGGCTTATGATCATAATGAAAATCTTCCTTTCATGACACATATACATTCAGCCCAAAAAAAAAAAACAGAAAAAAAAAAAAAAAATTCACTTTGAAAAACAGCAGGACAATAATTTACCTGCAAGGCAGCCAATGACTGATAGCACCACAAGTCGTTTCCATAGTAACGTCATCTTTAGTTGCCAAGGGCAAGTATGACTCTCATCCAATTGCTTGTGAATGGAATGATTTCTCCCTTGAATGTGAGACGTAAAATCTGTGGGGGGAAGTAATTACAGAAGTAATTAAAATAAGACATTCTGAGTCAAATATGACAGACGTGCTGCTTTTATAGATAAATCCGAAAGATTACACCTCTGTTAAAGTGATCACCTTGACTGTGGGGACAAATACTGGTGAAATGTTGTTGGATCAAAGAAAAAGTTAACAACTGGGATGTTTTCAATGTGACTGCAACTAAAATATTAAAACACTGCAAACAAAAGCCCTGGGAGACTAGAGTTAAAATGTGCAGAAAATCAATGCAATGATGTTTTGAGTATGAATGACAGATGGGAGTGACGCTTCAATGGAAGAATAAAACAAGAAAGCAGACAGTTAGAAACCCCCAACTGTGAACGCCGTACAAAATATTCATTGCACTTTTAAAAGAGAGTAACAACTGCTTTTGTTCTGAAGTTTGATGCAGTCTAAATTATGCATTATTATTTGTGATAGCAAAGAAACAAACAGAAACCTGCAACATCAGAGAAATCAGGGGGCTGGAATTTGTTGACCTCAAAAGCTACTTTCTCTAGACTATTAATAGGAGCTAGAAGTCAACCTAAATACTGTTAGCCGCTTTCACTAGCACATAGCATTCCACCCACATATACAGGCAAAATGACATCTTCTGAGGCCCTGCGTAGGGTTGAATCTGACAGAATAATTCGCAATGACTTCTCAGAGGACCTTTCATTTTGATTACCAGAAATGCAGACATTTACATATGAGGTTTATGCATATCTCAATTACAGTGTGATGCCATCTTGCAGGAAATATTCTTGCATTCAAAACAGATGGAGTGCAACCAAATGGAACAAAAAGCAGTGGTCTTGAGATGTGTTTTTCAAAGTTAAACTACTTTAAACTTAACACAGCGTCTTAAACAGTGCTGGGTAGTAACTGATTACATGTAATCTGGATTAATCAGATTCCAAAAATTAGGTACTTGTAATTAGATTTTACTCGTAATCAGGCTACAGTTACTTTTTTTATTGATTACATGATTATTCAAACAACAGCAATAAATTTTTCATAATTTATTGATTCTCTCAAATTCCTCTTTTTCATCTTTTAAATGTTCCTTTCTAAAATAACTTAGCACTTATATACATTCAGAAAGTCTTTCAGTTTTGTGGACATTCACACAAAGACCATCATATGGGCTTCATGGGTCAAAAAGCTACATTTACTGTATTTTATACTATTATAAAAGCTATCTTAACAGACTGGCATGCACTTTGGGGTTTTTATTTCATGAGGGGCTCACTCCTGTGAGTATTGGAGATTTTCCTTTACTCACTTTATTTTGCTTTGAAAAAACCCTAACTGTCACAGTTCCAGCTCTATGGCCTGAGGCCATTTGATTTTTTTTTCTATCTGAACCAGTTAGCACCCTGAGGTTTAAAACCATTCGTGTACACTCTTTCCCCAGTTATTTTTCATAAACACATACTCATTTCTGCTGCACTGGCCCTTTAAATGAATAAAGGCATGAAGGCTTAGAGAAAGGGTAATCTGCTATCGTTTCATTATAATTGCTTCAGAGAAGCCCCATGTTTAGTGCTGTATCCTAGTGGGGATAACTGCTGGGTGTCTGTCGTAATTGCAGGGACAGGGGGTCTCTGGGTGGATTTGCCTGGCGTCTTTTAAGTTTGGGGGCACATTATGCCGCAGGAAACTCTGTCAGATTGGATTACACAGCTCAGCTTTTGACGCAGGACAAGAAAGAGAGGAACTGCAGCTACAGTCCTCCAATGAAAAACATTACATTTGTCATTGTTTCTCATTATGACCTATACATGTAACCTGCATGCAACCCCCCCCCAAAAAAAGCATGCTAACAGGCAAGCCGTCAAAAAAAGTGATAACTCACGCCCCACAGCAAGGCTTCCAAGAGCAGATTTCTGTTGTAAAAAGAAAATGCGAGTTAACAAACTGGATGTAGATTTCAAATTGTGTGCATGTCACATCCAGCAACACAAGAGACAGGGCATAAATTGCAATTACAACCAATCTCTCAAGAGCCTTCCAAAAAACTGAGCTGTGGTGTCATTTCCACCAGCTTCCTCCAACCATCTTATTAAGCAAAATGATCAGCATTCGACTAGCAAATGTAATGAGGCGGTGCAGCATCACCTCCGCAACAGTGCTATGCCATAAAAGCCATTGCGTGCTCCTATTACTTGGTTAGCATGAACACTGTTTTGGCATATAATGGATATAAGAAGTGTTTAATGGTGTCTGTTTTGCAAAGGATATCAGGGTGGGGGAAGCAATTCAGGTTGATTTCATGCATGTCAAGATCTGAGGACTGGACCGGCATGCACAACGGTCTACATGTGATTACAGTCAGATAAAACAATGTATTACAGAGATGATTGTCAGTATGGGAAGCGTTAATGAACATGCCAAGCACTGTAGCTCTCATGATTATGGTGCATGATATGCCAGCAACCCACTGTTTGATGAGGAAAAATATTTTATCAACCAGATGTATTTTTTTATTTTTTTTTATCAATCTGATATTAGGGTTAGGTTTAGGCTAGTGGTTCTTAACTGGTGGGTTGCAACTTAAAAACAGGATCATGAAAAACAATGTTTTTTTTCCACAAGAAAGCTGAACAAAAACTACTTATCCCCTGACAAACTGAGGTTCTGGAGGGAACAGCCCCTGAAACCATCCTCATCGTGCTTTTGAGCAAGCCACTTAACCCCAGGTTATTCCATGGGGATCGTCCCTTTAATAAGTATACTTCTTTGGAAAGAAGTGTCAGCTAAATTATTACTTACACTAAAGCCATGAACCTGAGCATTACAGTACTTATAGACTATAATTAATGTAGATCAACTGCTTGGTGGTACTTCGACTGACATTAAACATTTGGTGTGAGAGCTGGTTTTATACTCCTGCTATAAATCATCAGTTCTTGTAACAATGTGGTGAAGTTGACTGTATATTGTGTTTTTGACAGTGAGAGTAAATCATGTTCCATTCCTGACCATCAAACCTTAGCAATTCAATGGAGAAAAATGTACTGTGATGATGTCTGCTGCAACCACTGTTTTTATTGTGAACTAAAACAATTACAAAATACTTTCCATTAATTGAAATTAATAAAATAAATAAATAAATAAAATACAAAAAAAAAAAATATTAGATGAAAATCTTTAAAAAAGTGAAAATTAGAAATGTTGCTTTGGCAACTTACTGAAATAAAGTTGAAGTACTAAACTAAAAATAATATAATTAGTTCCTAAAACCAAAAAGTTAATTAAAACAAAATATTAAATAATAATAATAAAAATGAAAAAAAAAAAAGCACAAAACCAAATCACTAAAATTTGAACTGAAAAAATAAAATAAAAGGTAATTAAAAATATTAATAAATACTATAATAGTATATAAATTATACTAAAATGACAACTGCAACTAATACTAAATGAAAGGGATAGTTCACCTAGGGCTGGGCGATATAGCTAAAAAATATATCAACGATATATGTTTCATATCGTTCGGAATCGATAATTATTGACATTTTATATAACCTTTTTTAAAACAGAGCAATAGAATTTTTTTTTTAAATTTAACCACTGTATTTTTAATTTGCCCACTTCATTGCTTAGCCTAATACAAAGAGCCAAATCGCCGATCACACAGATTGCATATAAAAACATATGAGACACAGTGAAATGAAATAAACCTTCACAAATTCGCGTTGCGTTTACTAAACGTTAAAACTGTTTTAACTTTGCATTACTTTCTTTGCATCTCTTGCATAAGACGCGAGTGCAGCAGTCATATTTGTCCGTGTAAAAATGTGCTGAATATGCGTTCTGTGTGAATGGCTTGGTTTCGGTTTTAACCTAATCAAGATCTTCTACGCATTGAGCTACTATATTTCTCTAATATTTTGAACGAATAATATGTGGGGGCGTGTTAGAACGAGCCGTTTTAGGTAGGTGTGGTTGACTCTTAACTTTTATAAAGAATATCTCTATGGATTTGAGACTTTAGTCTTTGCAACTTTACAGATCTTCTTTATGCACCAAGAGCTTGTAACACTCCAAAGAGAAAGGAAAAATTTAAATTGCATCATATGACCCCTTTAATATAACTCAGATTAAATCCATCTGAAAGAAGAAAGTCATATACACCTAGGATGCCTTGAGGGTGAGTAAATCATGGGGTAATTGTAATTTTTGGGTGAACTATCCCTTGAAGCACCTTGAATGCAAAATGACCAACAATGAATGAATACAGAGGTGAGCACAACTAAAGCAGAATCCTTGAACAGCGGTATACACAATTCAACCGTGCTTATCCATCACAGCATTTAGATTCGTAAACCAACATTTCTAGTAACAGATTTCCTCTGTAAAATTGAAAGGTGTTTTCTATAGAAGTGTCATGGGGCAAGGAGAGAAAGGGCTTGACACAGCTTGGCACCGTAGTGTCTTGTTGTCTTCAGAGCATCTTTATCATTTGGTTTCTGCATAGACCTATGTTTGCCTCTCTCGTTATTTACTCTACATGACATGTGCGAATCGGTGGGCGGGGCTAAACAGGCAGTAATGCAGAAGCAGGCGTTGATCTTATTCTGCGGAGGCTATAAAGTGACACATTCCACAACCTGTCATTTTGGCAGATTGGCTTCAATATACGCTGATTTTAGACTAACGAGAAAGTTTTGAGTTCTTAAATTTACAGGATGTTTTTACAGTAAAATGACCTCTTATATGTAAAAAAATCAAGGAATTTTTATTTCTTCGTTTTAAAAAAGGTGCTCCAAATAACTTTTGCGCTATATTACATGTTTCAAAATAGCTTTAAAAGATCTTCAATAAATTGTTTGATCTGGTTCACAAAATCAGTCTGAACGATTTGTTTATGAATCAGAGACAGTGATTGATTTAGTTGCAAACTTAATTGACTTGACTTCAGCAGACTTGGAATATAGCATCACATGGACCACAAGTAAGTTCTACAAATGTGTTTGTTTTAGTTCCAAAGAAATAAGAGAGTCATACGGGTTTAGAACAACACAATGACAACTTTCATCTTGGGGTGAAGTATTCCTTTAGGCCTCAGTCTGAGATTAAAAAAGATAGACTTAGAAAGATAACGAGAGAAAAAAGGTTTGTGATCCGGACTGCAGAAAGCAAATTCGAGAGATGGATTTTAAGAAAGGCAGAATAAATAAACTAACATTACTTTAATCTCTAATGAATTCCTCCCTCATGTTCAAATTTATCTTTAGTCTCTCTTTAAATAAACTTTATACGCCAAGTCTCAGAGGAAGCCAAGCTGTGCTGTGGAGTGGTTCGACTGAATTCTGCACACTGCTGTTTCCCAATGTTCTCACCTCTAATTTGGCTGTGGTTGTTGGCAACAAAATGAGATGAGCCATGCATCCCAGATGCATCCATAAATAAACATGATCACACGAGAGAAGGATCCCATTCCTATTTGAATAGCAGATGTGGTGTGGATAGAGAGCCGAATGTGTATGTGTCATGCCTCTCTGTCTCACTCCTTCAATACATAATGGCACTAAAGTTCCCACAGCTTAGTCACACCTTTGTGAGATTATAAACCAGGCGATAGAGGCAGTGTTGGCTGATCTATGGAGAGGCTGATAGTTTATTGATCCACCTAACACTTGTTTGAGTGTTAACTTCAAAAGAAACTAACCCAGGTCGGATCAGAAAAGTATTACAAGTATTATGTGGTTTTACCCTCTTACTGACAACTGTGTGGTGTTCTCAAATGTTTCAACAAATTAATGTCCATACTTTTCCCAGTCATTCCTGATTACTTTGTGGAATTAGATTAAACAATTATTCTTATTAGCGTTCAGATGAGTCCAAGAAGACCCTCAACAGACTGATGTTTCAAGCTGACAAGTTATATTCATTTACAAATTAGCAATATCTATCTGTTTAAATATTTAAAGCAGAGCAAAACCAGAAAAATCACTTTTCCAGACTTGGAAAGCACAATTCCCTGAAATTTCTCTCCAAGGAATTCCACATACATGTGCCTTCCATACTGTGTGAAGGATTCATTATAAGGGAATTTTGTTACGGGTGACTTGAATAAGAAAAAAATGGAGATGTTGAAGACCTATAGGTAGCACCTGCCAGTTTTTATCCCTTATACATCATATCTGTCTGAGTCTGAGGAAATACAAGGTTATCTGCAAGATAAGAGTGATGTTTGTGCCTCATGTGATCTGCCCTACATGACTGAGATCAGCATGCAGTTCACCTAATAAATCACACATGTGCTGCAACTACAATAGCATAAGGCTCTGACAGAGTTGACATAAAAAAGTTGAAAAATAAAATATGGCCAAACAAAATTTGGTTGCTTTAAGTGTTCACATGCTATACGTCCAAAAGAAAGTTGTTACTTGTGGTCAAATTCTATTCGTTTAACAACAGCTGATTAAATAGTTTTCACTGTTGTTGATAAAATATCATTGGTCAAGGAACATACGTGTTAAAGGTCATGCCAACATGGCAGATGCACTATGTCGGGAAATATATAGCTACTACACTCCTGCATACCTGAAGAACGCCCACCATCAATCTAGAAGTACTGTAAGTGCTCCATTGAATTCAGTACATACTGCACTTTATAAGATTTGGGACGCAGGTTTTCCTACAGCAGTGTTATAACCGCTCCTCAACAGCGCGACAAGTTTAGTCTGATTCTCGAAGAATTATGATTCAATTCATGTTGAGTGGATAAAAAACTCTGCATAGTATGACTCTCGGATAAAGTAGGCTACTCTCTTGTGGTCCTTGTTCTTTTTAGAGAATCAAAAACATACAGACCCTTATCAAAAAGTAGTATACTTCAAGTTTATTTTAGTAAGTATACTTAAAGGCAGAGTATGTTTTTTTTTTTAATCGATCGCTTACTGAACCTCAAGTTGTTAATTTTGTTTTGTTCACATGAAACGAGTCTATGTTATGTTACACTTAAAGCTGAACGGTTTTGTTGATAGGCTACACATGAAAGATACACATATGAGTTTTGTTATAATTAGTGGTGTCATATGAATGAATGACTGAATGAATTAAATCACCACATTTTTGTTTGATATTTGATACTCAAAAAAGTCTAAGTGAAAAGTCTAAGCCCGTTTAAACATTTTATTTTTTTAGTATTATTATTATTATTATTTGTTATAAATATCTGTCCTCTTAAATCTAAAATTATCCCACATACAGACTGCCGAGTAATGCTTTAAGAATGGCATTGCTTTCCCCCCATATATTCCTTCCTTAAAATTACTAAAAGATCGCAAGTGGCACCGGTTTTGAAGAATCGAAATTATCAGTAGCCTACGTTGAATACGATTATAAGTCATTGGGGTCGTGGTCATTTTTCTAACGATATCCGTAATGTACAATCATTTACATTATTTGGCATCTCCAATAAAACTTGCACTTACAGTTTAACTTTAAATAATCTAATAGTGCATGGCTGATGATTCAACTCACCGTGATGCGCTCCCGTTCACTGTTTTCCGAAATAAGAGAAGACGTGGGAATTTATTCCATATTCAGTGATGGGATGAACCTCAGCACCTCTAACCCCCTAATGTCGTCTGTAACATCTTTCCTGATATCGTTCTCTCACTTTTAGAACCAAAGAAATGCCCTCTAAATCGAAGTTTATGTAGAGTCGGACAGGAAAACGAGATTTATTCCCTCTCGTGCACAGAGATGCTCCTCGTATTCCCGCAAGCGCTCTGCAATTAGTCCACGAATCACAGCGCTCCGGCGTATCCACTGCACACACGGGCCTCGTGATCGGTTCCGACCAGCAGAGTGATCCAGAAAGACGGTTGGTTAGGTATATATGATGCGTGTCTCCTCCTCCAGCAAGCGCTCAGTGGATGAAATGCGTAGTTGTGGTATCTAACATGCTGATGCACCTCCAGCTGAGAGTGTCTTTGTAAGCACGCCCCAAATTCATAAGTGCCTCTAAGGGAAGATTTTTATGTGATGGTGATCATTTGCATCACTTGTCTAATGCCTGCCCTCTCCTGCAGTGCCATTTGCCATTTTCTGGTTTGTGCAGTCATAAACTGGAACATTAAGAATTTCATTTGCACTCTTGCAATATTAGAACTGTAATGGCTCTGCTTTAATTCCCCGTTCCTTTGAATAAAGCCTATCTATTGTTTATCCTCCTGACTACCAGAAAAAAATTATTCTTTTCATGTCATTACATTGTTTATGTGCTATGATGAGATATGACAAGGGCAGCTCAGGATAAACCTAATGTCAGAAGAATCAGTTGTTCCACAAAAGCATTCCCCCTGTAGCACTTTCAGTTTGTTCACAGCTTGACTTAGGGGAGATGAGTGCTATTTGTCACGTTTTACTCCTGTAAATATTTCTCAGGGCAGGTTTATTTTTGAAAGTCAATTAAAGGCACAAGCCTTAAAGGGGTCATATGATGCGATTTCAATTTTTCCTTTCTCTTTGGAGTGTTACAAGCTCTTGGTGCATAAAGACGATCTGTAAAGTTGCAAACACTAAAGTCTCAAAACCAAAGAGATATTCTTTATAAAAGTTAAGAGTTAAAATAATGTTCTTTTTAGCAGCATCATATGACCCCTTTAAATTCTCGGCCACAAAAAAGCACTTACGCATGTTCACCAATAAAAGATACACACATCAACACACAACAATCGACCCAGTGTGACACATTGTCATGCTATAACAAAACAGTACATGAAACAGCAAAAATTCATATAGGTTAAAGCAATATTTTGGCATAAAAATAAATTACAACATCGAAAACATATGTGACAACTTGCCCCAATAAATGAAAACCTACTGTAAGCTGCCATTTTGTGTTCATTTGATTATGCAACAACAATTACAATATGATGATAATTGGAATTTTTAGTTTGGAGGACAGAATTCTATGTACTGATGTAAGATGTAGTGTAAGATGATTTTGAACTATATGTATTTAAAACAAACATTCAAATGATACAGCTAGAGAAAATATGCATTTGTGTAATTGGACTGTTGCCTCAAAACCGTATGGGTACTGACATACAGCCCTTGTGGATGTCCATGTGTGACAATTAGCACCAGTCTCCCATAATTTAAACTGACTAGGAAATCAGTGAATCTCAGATAACCCTACCATTCCAGGCCATTTGGAATTCGGCTACAAAACAGCATACCCTACTGCTGAATGCCACCATAACACAGTTACTGTTCCTCTTCTGAACCTTGCACAACCTTTGTCCTTCAATGTTATAGACTGTTGAAAAAGAATAATAATAATCCTGCCTGGGGTGGTTTGCTGGTTATATCTGGCTGAGTTCTGCTGTCCAGACTGGTTTGATGGTTTTGGATGGTTTGGGGCCACCTTGGTAAAGCAAGGAGACCAGCTAAACAAACTTAAACCAGACTAAACTATGAACTAAACTGGACTCTGGACCATCTCAAGTCAGATATCAAGATCATATTTTGTATGACTAGTTGAGACATGTTCATTCAAGTCCAAGTCCAGGCCAGGTCCAAATGCTCCTGAAAATATGGTCTTAGTCTCGGACATGTCTCGTCTTGTCTGGACTGAGGTACTAAAACTCTGCAACTGGTTTAAGCTGTTATTTTTCATCACCAAATTAAAATCCATTTACTCTTATAATTTAACCAAGTATTGATCCGGTAGTCTTTGCAATGTAAATATTTAAAGGATAACCAAGATTACATCCATATGATTTTGCAGAGTGAACCAAACACTTAACAGCGTCAGTCGATAAAGACTGTGGTATTTGAAGGCTGGATTCGTGGCGTGGTATTGTGGCTCAGGGATGGAGATTTTTATTCGACCAATGTGTCAAAGGGCAGTGCAGTTTCTAAGAATCAGAAAAAGATGAGACACTTATGAGAGATGGAGCAAAAGGTCTTTGAGAAATGTCTGGTAAATAATAGCGCACTTTTTAATTTAATTATGTGCACTGGACCCTCATCTAGTGAAGAAAACATCTTTGGCTTACAGCGGCATGACCTGCTGCTTTGTGAAACATTAAGTGAAGCCAAATGTTTGACTGCACCGACCAGTCACGTGTGACATTTAGCTTGAGGAGAGCATAAACTGATATTGTAAAGAGTAATTCACCCAAACTGAAAACATTTTTAAGAATCAAATTTAAAAAGGGGCTATTATCAGTGAATAGAGACCTTTCTTTGCAAAGTTATCAAGTAGATTGAGAAGACTTGGAATATGTTCTATGGGTCGTATGGAATACTTCTATGGTGCTTTTTCATCCTTTTTGGAGCTTGACAGATTCGGTCACGGTAAAACAATATTTTTCGAAGTTGTAAATTAAAGATGGAGTATGTTTTACAAGAAAATGCTATTTCAGTCTTTCTATTTCAAAATTGCATGTTTAATTCAATGTGTTAAGTGCCATTTCTTTGTAATTAAAAAAAAAAAAAGATTAGTAATTTCAGAGTGAAAATTGGTTCAAAGTAAATCATACACTGCAAAAATGGTGTAAGAGCTGTTGTTATATAAATAGCTGTGTGAAAACGCAATTATTCTTATGGAGAAAATATATGAACATATGAGTTTGGAATGACTTGAGAGTAAATAAAGAATATTCTTTTAAGGTATGTTAATATATAAACAAGGATGAAAGATATATTTAATCATTGCACAATGTATGGTTTTATGGCTTACATAAATATTTAATAATATTTAATAGACAAGTAACTTCAGGTTGTTGCCTCCTAGCTGAGCCAGCGACCTAAACATCCAAGCAAACATTATTATGAAATACAGCCCTAACCTCAGATTTCATTATCCAGACTTGAGGATGAGACACTGGCTACAAATCTTCTCACATTATTTTATCTTCCAATACAGAGGGAAAAAATGGCATCAAACAGAATTTGATCCCTCATTTGGTGAATATCCAGCTGGGGTTTGTGAACTTCAAAGCTGGGCAGGTGACACAGATCCATCTGGTTCCCTTATAGGCTTTGAGTAAATCAAGGGCACCTCACTGCTTATTCAGCATGACGTGTCTTTCATTGTATTCTCTAGAAAGTATGCCTTGTCTTACTTGGGCATTCTTGAGACACAAATGAGCTGTTTTCCATTGTGATATGTTTTCTCCCGAATTGTGTTTCTTGTGCATCTCTTTTTGTTTTTCTAATTGCATCTACAGCTTAATCTACATGAATACTATTGAAGACATTGTTTCCAAATGCAGTTAATGTTGATTTTAAAATTGTATTCTGAATGGGTTGGGTTTAAATGAGGTGAATGAAGTCCCAAATCAAAGCTAATCTCATCAGTATTGCACCATATATTTTAAGTTTTAATTTATTTATGAACTCATAAATCTCTGTCTCCTAATTTGTTTGCAGTGCCATTTTACAATGCCCTGAATTCCTAGAAAATCATTATTTCTAGCTTTCCAAATACATTTTGTAATGGAACTCCTGAACGACTTGTCAATCATGGCTCATCATTAATCATAACTAAATAGTTGGGGAAACTTTTAATGACTCGTCATCAATCATAAATGTCACAATCATCAATCACGATCAAACTGATGTGGGGAAACTTTTAATTAAACTTAACGCTTTACCTATATATTGATTTATTTGGTGAGTTTAAATTTTTAGCAAATGGAAAAATTTTATTCCAAAAAAGTAGCATTTACAAAAAATTTAAAATGCCATTTAATATCAACCATTTAATAAATGGTCAAATATGATTTGACTCACATATGACCTTCGTCACCTTAAATCATATAACACATTTTTTTTCAGACAAAATTTGATGAAACACACTGAAAGTATCAGAATTTTTTTTGTAATTATTAGTATGTCCGACATTGGCTGCCTGGACAAGGAAGTAATTGAAGAAGTAAAATGCCATTTAATATCAACCATCTAATAAATGGTCAAATATGATTGACTCACATATGACCTTCGTCACCTTAAATCATATAACACATTTTTTTTCAGACAAAATTTGATGAAACACACTGAAAGTATCAGAATTTTTTTTGTAATTATTAGTATGTCCGACATTGGCTGCCTGGACAAGGAAGTAATTGAAGAAATTTCCAAAGAGCTGTATACCTATCCATGCCTCCATCAAACTACATCATAAGTTAAGCACAACTTGCTGTTCAAATCAGCCTTCAGTTTTAACCCTCTACTGCATGATGTTCCCTCAGGGTAGCAAACTCATTTTCTTCTATTTCCAAACCCAGGATGCTCATAAAATGGCAATAAAGTGGTGTGTAATGAAGAGATTACTTTAAATAAACCAATTAGATGCGTTTATTTGTCAAATTACATCCTGCTTGTCATTATAAATAAATACATAAATAAATACAATTCTGGCATTGTGAACCATGTGAAGGACAAATATTTTTGCTCTTTTTTTTTATAAAATAATAAATAAAATAATTAAATTGCATGAAACAATTTTTTTACCATTGCTTGCATAGTGTACGTAGTAGAGGGCTAATCAACGTGTGTTTATTATTCAAGAATTAACCCAGCATGATTTTTATTCATTCAACAATTAAGTAATGCTAAAAAACACAATGTCATACAAAATTATAGTTGGGGTTTTATCTTGAGTTCCACTGTTAACCCTTTGTATGTTATTGTTATGCTTTGATCTTTTATGACACAGGTATGATGAAGAAGTGACATGACAGTCAATGTTTGGTTATTGTGCAATATTGATTCACATTGCTTGTCTTATTGTATGTATGTCATAACTCAGGACTGTTGGAACATTTCTCAACATGTAGCTCACCAAACAGCCCTATTGACTAAATTGTTTGATCCACAACAGAGAACACAGAAGCAAGAACACAAAAA